GCCGGACACTCAGAGGCGCCGGTGGGCGGAAAGGGTTCCGTGGAGCACGTGCTTTGGGAAGCCCAGGCGGCTGGCGGAGCGGCAGGCGCTGCCCCGGAGCCACGCTGGGAGAGGTGCCACCTGTGCCGGCTGCACCTGTGCCGGCTGCACCTGTGCCCGCTGCACCTGTGCCGGCTGCACCTGTGCCGGCTGCACCTGTGCCGGCTGTACCTGTGCCCGCTGCACCTGTGCCGGCTGTACCTGTGCCGGCTGTACCTGTGCCTGCTGCACCTGTGCCGGCTGCACCTGTGCCGGCTGCACCTGTGCCCGCTGCACCTGTGCCGGCTGCACCTGTGCCGGCTGCACCTGTGCCGGCTGCACCTGTGCCCGCTGCACCTGTGCCCGCTGCACCTGTGCCGGCTGCACCTGTGCCCGCTGCACCTGTGCCCGCTGCACCTGTGCCCGCTGCACCTGTGCCCGCTGCACCTGTGCCCGCTGCACCTGTGCCTGCTGCACCTGTGCCCGCTGCACCTGTGCCCGCTGCACCTGTGCCCGCTGCACCTGTGCCGGCTATACCTGTGCCCGCTGCACCTGTGCCGGCTATACCTGTGCCCGCTGCACCTGTGCCGGCTGCACCTGGGCCCGCTGCACCTGGGCCCGCTGCACCTGTGCCCGCTGCACCTGTGCCCGCTGCAGCGCCGCGGCCGTGACCTCGGCCTCTCATGCTTGTCCCAGAAAAGTGCATTCTGTGTGTGGACCGTGTGCGCCCTCCCCCAGGGACCGCCCCCTCCTGTGGCCAGGCGGAGCGTGGGAAATCCGAAGTAGAACCCCAGGAACGTCCTCTCAGCCTCACAGGGCTGGGTCCTAGGCTGGGACCTCAGCTCGGCATTTGGGGGGAAGAGGGGGAGGAGGGGCCTGGGGGTAGTTTTTAAAGTTCATTTTAGAAACATGGAGTGTTCAGCCAGTGCCTGGCCCTTTGCAGAAGTTTTGGTTTTGTATGTGTTGTGGTGTGTGTGTGTGTGTGTGTGTGTGTGTGTGTGAGTGTGTGTGTGTGGTGTGTGTGTATGTGTGTGTGGGGTGTGTGTGTGTGTGTGTGTGAGTGTGTGTGTCTTGTGTGTGTGTGTGGTGTGTGTGTGTGGGGTGTGTGTGTGTGTGTGTGTGTGTGAGTGTGTGTGTGTGTCTTGTGTGTGTGTGTGGTGTGTGTGTGTATATGAGTGTGTGTGTGGTGTGTGTGTATGTGTGGTGTGTGTTGTGTGAATGTGTGTGTTGTGTGTGTATGAGTGTGTGTGTGGTGTGTGTGTCTGAGTGTCTGAGTGTGTATGAGTGTGTGTGTGTGTGTGTGTGTGTTGTGTGTGTTATGGTGTGTATGTGAGTGTGTATGTGAGTGTGTGTGTGAGTGTGTGTATAGTGTGTGTATGAGTGTGTGAGTGTGTGTATAAGTGTGTGAGTGTGTGTGTGTGTGAGTGTGTGTGTATAAGTGTGTGAGTGTGTGTGTGTGAGTGTGTGTGTATAAGTGTGTGAGTGTGTGTGTGTGTGTGTGTGTGTGTGTGATTGTGTGTGTGTGCCGTGTGTGTATGTGTGTGTATAAAGCTGTATGAAATGGATGCATTAATTGAAATTTGAAGGAGCAGTTTCAGTGACCCTGTAGGAGACCTTCCCCTTGCTTTTCTCTGAGCCTCACCGATCAGAACAGAGGCGGCCATCACTCTGTCGTGTCTATGAAAACAGTGCTTGAATCCGAATAAAGATTAGGTAGCATCCGGCATAACGTTTGGAATCCAGATAATGAGTGGACGTGCCCTGTGGGTAAGCAGGGGCCTGGAACGTGTGAGACGCTGCTCAGGGGGTCCCTCCCTCGGCCTGTGTTCACGTTGGCAGATTCCCGTCACCATCACGAAGCCCCACGAGAAAGCGGAGGTGCCCACCGGCGTGATCGTGGGGAGCGCCGTCGCCGGCCTCCTCCTGCTCCTGGCGCTGGTGGCCGTGCTCTGGAAGGTAAGCCCCGGGGCCTGGCAGTGAGCGTCCTGTCCAGCATCCACCTCCCGGCCCGGCCCCTCCCTCGCAGAGCAAGGGCGTGCCAGGCCAGGCAAAGGCGGTTCTGGCAAACAGCCGGAGGATCTTCCCTCCTCGTCCTGTCCCTAGCCTGCCCTCCCACCCTCCCTCACCCACCCTCATGTCCCAGTCAGCGGCAGACAAACGGAGCCCGGCTCCCTGGGCCCAGCGTCCTCCTGACGGCCCATACCCATCGGTCCCAGGCCACACACCCCTCCTCATGCCCGCGGCTCCCCTGCACGGCTCCCAGGGAAGCCAGGGGGCCGAGGCCCCACGCGCACCAAGCCATCGACATAACGTTTCACACCGTCACCCCACAGCTCGGCTTCTTCAAGAGGAAATATGAGAAAATGATGAAGAATCCAGACGAAGCGGACGAGACCATGGAGCTCAACAGCTGAGCGTCAGCTGGACCCGTGGGCCAGGCCGGACCCGTGGGCCAGGCCGGACCCTGTGGGCCAGGCCGGACCCCGTGGGCCAGGCCGGACCCGTGGGCCAGGCCGGACCCGTGGGCCAGGCCGCCTCCCACCAGCGTCTGCCGTGGCCGAGGGTTTGCTTTCAGACCCGGCGTTTACAGAGTCTTAGGTGCACTGGTCTCATATTTTATTTCAAGAAAACTGCAGGTCGGTTTGGAAAAAGGAAGTGAGGATTGTGGGGTGGGGGGTGTAAAGGTTTATGGGAAAGACGTGTTTATGTGGACCGTGTCCACGCTGGCTGGGCCCAGCGCCGTGTGCCGTGTGCCGTGTCAGAGGGGACATGCCTACAGACATGGCGTCTCCCACAGAACAGCCTTCCTCAGGGTTTTATGGGAGGGGTCCGGTGTGCAGTGACGCTTTTTAAAAGAAGTGACGAGTTTGGTGAAGACAGGACTCGGGGAAAACGGCGGGTCTTCCCCTCTCGCCAGAAGCTGCCAGTTTTCTGTGAGAATCGTGTTTACAGGCGAGGGGCCCTGGCTGGTGTCCGGGGCCGGCTCGCCCTCTCCTGCGCTGGCCTGACGGGGCCCCGCGGTGGCTGTCCGCCTCCTGCCGGCGGGTCCATCCCGGTGAGCGCGTCTGGAGGCCGAAGCACAGGCCGCCGGGCCGCACTGGGCACCACCTGCCTGCGGGCCGCCACGTCGGAGACGAGTTCCCGTCCCTCAGTCCACAGCGGCCGCCTGGCTGCTGCAGGGACCGTGGGACGCTTTAAAGATGAGCCTCGTGCTAGGCACCTTCTCGCCTCTGCACGGAGCCCGGTCTGGCCCAGGGAGCCGAGCCCCCTGGAGCCCGGAGCCTGGTCCCTGTGCGGCCGCAGTCGCCGCTGTGCACACGTCTCCCACCTGCTGTCCACGGAGGCAGCGCCCTGCCGAGCGGATCTCTAACCCTCGGAGCTCCAGGGTGTCAGACAAGGCCGAGCAGACGCCATCCCAGGAACCTGGGAGCCGGCGCGGACCCTGGGCGTCCCCAGGCAGCAGGCGTCTTCGGGCTGGTCCGTCCCGGGACCGACCCCGCAATCACTCACCGGAGGCCCCTTCCACGCTGAGTCTCAGGCCCCGGCTCCTGAGGCCGCCACCTGTCGGATGGACTGAGGCCCCGGACCCCCGTTTTCTGTGCTGGCAACAGGATCCCGGAGGACCTACTGCCTTTTCCTCCTGCACCCTCTCCTCCCTGGCCCACAGGGCCTCGAAGGGCGGGCTGGGCGGGGGGAGGGCCGGGAACCCTGGGCGATGCCATGGGAGCTGCCGCCGGGAGCTGCCGCCGAGCCCCACGGCCGCCAACAGCAGGCCTGGAGCCCAGCTGTGATGGACGCTCTGGGTTTTAGAAGCCGGGACCTGCCCTGCCAGTGGCCAGGGGTGAGTAGCGACCTGGGAACCAGGAGGTCACCGTTCCCTTCCGGGTCAGGACACAGGCCGGGGCTGTGGGCTCGATCCCCAGTAGGGGGCGTGCAGGAGGCGGCCGATCCGTGATTCTCTCCATCACTGATGTTTCTCTCCCTCTCTCTTCCTCTCTGAAACCGATATATAAAAATAATAATAAATAAAAGCCCAGGGCCTGGGCTTTTATAACACAAACAGCCAGTCCTCCAAGGCTCTGACTGTGAGAAGTCTGGGAGGACAGGGATCCGCCGTGTGTGTCTGGCTGCCTCCTGGCCTGGTCCCCCTGCCCTCCTCCCTCCCAGCCGTGGCAGCCAGGGCCAGGCACATAGGCCAGTGATTTACTTTGTATTTGACCAAACGAAGAAGAAAAAACAACCATAAAGTGTCAGGTTAACAGCAAAAAAATGGCTGGTGTTCTCCAGTGAGACGTGCCGGAGCCCAATAAAGTTTTATTGAGAAACAGCATGGGGGAGAGTGGCCATGAGGTGGTGAAGGATGGGACGGACCACGTGACTCTGCAGAGACACAGGAGCTCCTCGGGGTGCTGTGTGAAGGGCCGTGCCCGCCTCCTGCCTCCGCACCAGGCCTGGAGCTGCCGGCAGCAGGCGGGGAGCTGGGCGAGCGAGGCAGTGGCCTGCCTGCGTCTTTCCGCGAAGGGCATGGGCTCCAGCGCCGAGGAGCGCTCCGTGTACCGTAGGCGGGGTCGGCCTGGGTGCTGCGGGCGCTTGGGGCCAGGGGACTCGGGGGCCGTCCTGTGCCTGTGGGGCCCGCAGCTCCTGGGGCCTCTGGCTGCGGAGGCGGGAGCCCCTATGGGTGATCACCGGGCTGCCTCCAGCCTCTGGGGCTCCGGGACCCGGCACCCTGATGGAGAGCCCGCACAGCACCCGCCTGCAGACAGCCTCTGCGGTCAGATCGGAGGCTGAGGCAGAGCTGAGCTTACAGAGGAGCACTCCTCACGCGCCTGTAAGCAAAGGCGGATATCCATCCAAGGAATGAAAGGAGCCTGCAGTGTGAGCCAGGAGGTCCCGGTTCCATCGGTTGCGGGCTCCATCCCCCGTGTGGGGCATGCCGGAGGCAGCCAGTCACAATTCTCTCTCATCGATGTTTCTCTCTCTCCCTCTGAAATCAATAAAATACATTTTTATAAAAGGAAAAACCTTGCTTCAGAAGAAGTTTTGTATTCCTATTCAGCCACACTTTCATTTTGAGATGAAACATGGTGTAGGGCTTAGAAGATGCCACGTCAAAGTGTCCGTTTCATAAATGTAGACGTGAAGGGCTGTATTGTGGCAGAGAAAGTCGAACTGGAAGTGTGTATGTTGCACAGTCAGGTTATAATTGTGTGTTTTTGAAGGAGGCAGGTTGCTGTGGGTACTTTTCTTTCCATGTGAGGCTAATGGCACTATGATGTAGCACGTGTATTGTTCTTGATTAACTGGTTCTGTCTTTCCTCCTGACCAAAGCTACGGATGTGTATGTGTGTGTCTGTGCGTAAAGCTGTGGTGCTCCTGGCTTGAGAGGCAGGTCCCACGAGTGTCCGCAGTGTCTCCTCGGGGCCTGCTCCGGCCACAGTGCGAAGCAGAAGGTGCCCTGTGGCCGCAGCCCATGTGCACCGCGTGGCCCATGAATGGCAGTCCCTCAGACGGCAGAGCTCCTGCGGGGGTTCGGGTTTACGCTCCAGTGTCTCCTGCTGGTCTGATGCACTCACTCCCCTCCACTCTGCCGGAGGGCTGTCCCCTGCCTCCCGCCACTGCCGGTGAGCAGCCTCCTGGGGCCTCTTGGACTGGGGACCGGCGCTCTGCTCCTCGGCCCGCAGGCCCTGAGCTGCCCACAGTCAGACCACAGGTGGCATCCTATTAGGCCCTCTGCCCGCAGGCCCTGAGCTGCCCACAGTCAGACCACAGGTGGCTTCCTATTAGGCCCTCGGCCCGCAGGCGCTGAGCCCGCCCACAGTCAGACCGCAGGTGCCATTGAGCTATTAGGCCCTCGGCCCGCAGGCGCTGAGCCCGCCCACAGTCAGACTGCAGGTGCCATTGAGCTATTAGGCCCTCTGCCCGCAGGCCCTGAGCCCGCCCACAGTCAGACCACAGGTGCCCCGGAGCTCTGGGCCCAGGGCGCCAGCTCAGTGAGATGCGCTCACTCCCTGGGCCGGCAGGACGCACAGCTGAGCTGAGGGCCCTGTGGAATGGAGTGGGGAGAGCCGGCACCTGCTGCTCCGCAGTCCGTGCAGCTGTTTCCTCACTCGGCAGCGAGCAGGAGGGTTCGAGTATTTTCGTGTTTAAGGACTGAACACGCTGATGTGAATGTGCTGAAACCATAAGCCCAGAGGCGCCTCAGGCTCACGGACTGGCCGACAGACAGACGGACGGCATGTTCCCTCCCAGGTGCTGCCACTCACAGCGGCGCCCAGTGCTCCGCATCAGGTGACCTCATGCCTCCCATCCCCCAGTTCTGGGAAACCAGCTCAGAGGGCGCGCGCACACACGCACACACACACACACAGACACATGCACACATGCATGCATGAACACACATGTGCACCAAGTGTGTCTGGTGAGCACCGGGCATTAACACGACTCTGGAGAGAGAGCATTCTTTTCTTTCTTTTTCTTTTTCTCAGAGCTGCTGCTCCAGTTTCAACCCATCAGCGGTTTGGGAGTCCCTAGCCGCCTCTGCCTTGGCGATGTCAGTTGTTAATTCCGGCCATTCGGCTGTGTGTGGTAACACCTGTGTTTAACTGACTTCCCCCATTCCTGGTGGGACCGAGCACTTTTCCCCATGTTCATTGGCCATTCGGGCTTTACAGATTTTGCTTGTTTTTATTATTAATATTTCTGATCTTCTCCTGAGGATATGTCTTTATTGATTTTTAAAAATGTATTTAGTTAATCCTCAGCTGAGGATGTTACTACAATAGCATTTTTAAAAACTCCCTCATTCTATTACAACCCTTTAATATTCTAAACTGAGATTCCAATTAAAGATGGAAAACCATCTAACACAAAACCAGGGACTAATTTTCATCACAGGCCCACTCCAACCTAACTTACTTAAAAAAAAAAATAAACAATTAAATAAAAGGCTACTAAACAAATTGCACTTCTGGGTTCTATGCAAAATACGATAAAATCTCACTCAAGTTGCTTTGACTATAGCCCAGGATCTACTGCCCCCTGCTGGGGGAACTGCTTAACAACAGCACACAAACCATTTCTGCCCAGCACCATCTGTGGCCATATGAAGGCCTTACAGTGTCATTGGGTATAACCCTCTGTGGTATGTTACATCCGCACAGCGTTTATTTTATAACTGGAATCTGCACATATTAATCCTTTCACTTATTTCATCCACCCCCGGCCCCCCTTCCCCTAGGTAAACACGAGTTTGTTTTCTGTCTCCATAAGTCTGTATTTTAGATTCCACTCATTAGGGAAATCTTCAATAATAATAAAAGCACAATATGCTAATTAGCCCAGACATCCTTCCGGGCGACCTTCCAGATGAGGTTGAGCTGTGAAGGCAGCCGGTGCCAGCAGCCAGGGGAGGAAAGCCTACTCTTGCACGAATTTTATGCATCGGCCTCTAGTACATAAACATAGTAACTTTTGGGGTACAAACCCTGGGAATATCTACGGTGGGCCCATGCCTCCATACTAATGTGCTTTCAGAATGAACAGAACTGTCTTCTTCTTCCTAAGGGCTCACATTTAGTGGGAGGAAGAGGGAGCAGGAATGGAGAGGGCAAGGCAGAGACCAGGCCGTCAGGGAGTGGTCGGGAGGGTGTGTCTGCCTTCAGGGTCCTTCAGCCCAGTTCCTCTGGATGGACTTGGGGGGGGGGGGGGGGGAGAGGAGGAGCCTGGCTTACGGGGATTCCTGACGGCAGCGTGGCTCCTTTTGGCCCAGGAAGAGGCGGCAGGAAGACCCTCCCCGTGTGTGAGGGTGGGGGCAGGTACCACCAGACAGACCTTCCCCGTGTGTGAGGGTCAGGGACAGGGACCACCAGACAGACCTTCCCCGTGTGTGAGGGTCAGGGACAGGGATCACCAGACAGACCTTCCCCGTGTGTGAGGGTCAGGGACAGGTACCACCAGACAGACCCTCCCTGTGTGTGAGGGTCGGGGCAGGTACCACCAGACAGACCTTCCCCGTGTGTGAGGGTGGGGGGCAGGTACCACCAGACAGACCTTCCCCGTGTGTGAGGGTGGGGGCAGGTACCACCAGACAGACCTTCCCCGTGTGTGAGGGTGGGGGCAGGTACCACCAGACAGACCTTCCCCGTGTGTGAGGGTCAGGGACAGGTACCACCAGACAGACCTTCCCCGTGTGTGAGGGTGGGGGCAGGTACCACCAGACAGACCTTCCCCGTGTGTGAGGGTGGGGGCAGGTACCACCAGACAGACCTTCCCCGTGTGTGAGGGTGGGGGCAGGTACCACCAGACAGACCTTCCCCGTGTGTGAGGGTGGGGGCAGGTACCACCAGACAGACCTTCCCCGTGTGTGAGGGTCAGGGACAGGGATCACCAGACAGACCTTCCCCGTGTGTGAGGGTCAGGGACAGGGATCACCAGACAGACCCTCCCTGTGTGTGAGGGTCAGGGACAGGGATCACCAGCTGGGTGCCTGGCACCAAGCAGGCAGTCAAGGTTGGTAGGAAAGGTGGATTCCTTATGTTAAAATGTTTCACTAGATGTAACAAATAATATTAATGACCTCACCAATGGGGAGGCTGTTCATTAATGACCTCACCAATGGGGAGGCTGCGTAAGCAGCCAAAAGGGATGCTAGCTGAAGTGCTTTAATAACCATGCAATTCTCCTTCTTCGTTGCCTGTGGATCAAATTTCATTTTTATTTTACTGATTTCAGACAGGAAGGGAGAGGGAGCGATAGAAACATCAACGATGAGAGAGAATCATGGATCAGCTGCCTCCTGCACACCCCCTACTGTGGATCGAGCCCACAGCCCAGGCATAGGCCCTGACCAGGAACTGAACTGTGACCTCCTGGTCGATGCTCAACCACTGAGGCACACCAGCTGGCTGTGGGTCAAATTTTAACCTTGTTGACAGTCAATTACCCTGGTTTTACAGCAACTTTATGCTGATTTGTATACGGATTCAATACGAAGAACTTATAAAATCTAGTAAGTGATAGTGAGATGATAGATTCTGAAATCCTAGAAACCATCATAGTATGAAATACATATTTTATGTCTTAGAAGAACTGAATGTTAACACACAGAAAAATGCTCCTCATAGACGTTTTTAATCATGTGTTTATTGGGTTTACTTTTTAAATATATAAATTCTGAAAATATATCAGGACTGTCGGACAATGACTTCCTGCGCCCTCCCATTCTGCCGGCACCATAGCGGTGCCCTGGCTGGGGGGGGTTTCCCTGAGACAGAGTCGTGAATCCAGTTACAATCATTACAATCATCAGTCACGGGTTCATTTGTCTACCGCGGACATCTTTCCTCGCATTTAAATGATTCTTCCGTTTCCCCTAAAGGCTGTCCCTCTCTCTGGCTCCAGTGTAAGGCCTCACCCCAAACTCTCCTGAGTTCTGGAGAAGGAAAACCAAACTGTGGTCCCAGGACAGGCGTGAGCACCTCACCCACGTGGGTGACTTAATTGCCGGGTGCCCAGAAGCATTCTTTGTTTCTCTTCCAAGATGACGATTCTTCATAGATCTCCTAAAAAACAGAACCACGGCAGGGACTCAGGATCACCATTTACATCTGCTCCCCTCTCAGCGACCACATGGCGTTCGCATACGGCACGGAGAGCAGAGACATGCATGAACATGTCCCTGCACACAGGACGCCAACCGGAGGGGAGCGTGGACAGGAGCCTTCACGGGGACGAGGGGCAGAACAGGGCCGGACCCCCGGGGGCAGGCAGAGGGGCCTGCGATCTGAGTTCTGAGCAGGTTCCTCTCCCCGCACACCTCTGCTCCCACAGCCGCCCTGCGCCGGCCATGGGCAGAGGCCACCGGGGACAGTGACCGCAGCGGCTCTGACAGGGACAGCGCCCGCCCACCCACCGCTGCGTCTCCGAGGACCTCCAAGCACAGGCTGCGGGCGCCTCGCGCCCCCCCCCCCCCCACCCTGGAACCCTCCCTCCTTACTCCCCAGCCAGAACCCCAAATTCACTGTCCCCCGGACACCTGGACCCTGTCCCACCGCCGCTCACCGGCAGCTGGCGGGCTGACCCTCCCTGCCAGGCTTGTGATCACGGTGGGGTGTCCTCGTGGTGGGGGGCCCTTGCTGTGGGGTGCCCTCCCGGTGGGGTGCCCTCGCGGTGGGGTGTCCTCACAGTGGGGGGCCCTCACTGGGGGGGCCCTCGCTCCCTCCTCAGGATTCTCCCCGCTCCGTGGACACAGGCCTGGCTCAGAGCACACACCACACGGCCCCTGCTGCGGTCACTGTCCCCTGCCACGTCCATCCTCTGTTTCCCCGCTAACAGGCTGCCATCTCCATTCGGAAAGCCCGGTCCCACATCCCACGGCGGGTCAGGTCCACTGAGGGCCCCGCCTGGTCCCCGGCCCTGGCTGCTGCTCCCCCCACACACCCCCGCTCTGCTCAGCGCCACCTCGCTGCCGGCTGCCCACAGCACAGACCAGCCGCTGCCACGGCCGCCACCGCTCTCCACCGGCTCACCGCGGGGCTGGGCCGACGGACAGCCGTGCGTCTCCCATTCACACCGTCACACCCACGCCCCGGCGCTCCCCGGAGGCAGTGCTCCCTCTCCTCTCTCTGAAGGAGGGAGCCGGGAGGTCTGGCGCCTTGAGGAACTCGGTGCCGGGCACCTGCGCGGCAGCCGCACGCTCCCATCTGCACAGGGGACGCCCTGGCGCAGGGACCCTAACCGAGGAGTCCCGTCTCACACTCCGTGCCGAGCATTCTGGGGGCGTATGTTTTTCATGGTTAACAAACCCTGGAGAAAGGAGCCTATATAATAAAAGGGTGATGTTTTCTGGACGAAGCGGGGACTGTGAGGGCGGAGGCGGCGGGCGGGGCCGATCCCCTTGCAGGAATTCCGTGCGCAGCCTCTGGTTTTGCGCAAACACCGGCTTCCCGGGCTGAGGACGCCGGAGTGAGCGAGTCGGGCAGACCCAGGGCAGGGCGCGCACGCTGCGTGTGCTCTGTCTGCTTAGGATTCCGGAGAAACCGCCACAGGCAGAGCGGCGCCCCTCCGTACCTTCTTCCACACCGGCACCGAGGCCTTCAGGGCGTCGATGGCGTAGCTCACGGCTCCGAGGGACGCAGCCCGGTGGGCCGAGGACACGGCGATGACGACGCTGGCTTCGGCCACAGGGACCAGGCTGCAACAGAACGGAGGACCCGTGACACCTCCTCTGACTCTGCTCCAGGCTCACGGCCCGCCAACAATCCGAGACGCTCCCCGCACTGACCCGCCTCCTCTCTACGGAGGAGCCAAACCCACAGGCACCGCAGGCGGAGCAGCAGAGAACGTGAACATCCCACAGCAGCACGCAGCCCGAGGGCAGCCCCGGGCAGGAGGCGGCAACACGCTGCCATGACGACCCCGTCTCAGCTGCTGGGCCCCGCTCAGAGCCTGCGGCCCTGGCTTCTTAGCGACCAAAGGCACCCGGATCCGATGTCCTCCACAGGCATGTGCCCCAGGGCTGCTTCTCTTCATACAAACAGAGTCTGGACGGAGGCCCGTTCTCCAACGGCCTCCGGGACTGCCCCCCATCCGCACAGCCGTGCGGCCCGGGCTCAGGGGTCCTGCCTGCCGGAAGCTCATTCCAGCATGTCGTAAATGCAAGAAATGTCATCAAAAGGCTGATGGAACCTTGAGGACTGCCTGCTGGAAATGGCTGAGGGCATTTCCCCACACCTGAACATCTGCATGGATGACTGCTCGCTGCCAGACAGCTGAGGGCATGTCAATCTACATGCTATTGCCTCCCGCTGGCCAAACACCTGAACAGCCGCAGGCAGTTCCCCCAATCCAACAATGCCTCTGTGTACTAAACCTTGGCCTTTGATATGACTAGGACAATTTGTGTTAATAAAAAGCAAGGGGTCGAGAGAGAGAGAGAGAGAGAGAGAGAGAGAGAGAGAGAGAGAGAGAGAGAGAGAGAGAGAGAGGAGGACTTGGTTTCTTTAGCTAAGTCTTCTCTGGCTCCCCAAAATGCATCCAAAATTATGTTTCCTCCCTGGACTCTTGACTAATTTACACACAGTGCCTTCTCCAGATTCCTGAGCCCTTCTAGATGCCGAGAAACATACGCCGGCATTACTCGCCCACCTGGGCCCTGGCACTGTCCAAACGTTACAACGGAACCAGCAGCCTTAACAGCGCTGGGAGGCGCCTCTGCAGGCTGCCAGGAAACACGCAGCGTCTCTCCCCGTGAGCCAGGACCCTGTGACTCTGCAGGGTCCGCAGCAGCACGGAGGCGAGCCGGCACCGATGGAGGGAGCCGTACCCGAGCCTGTGGAACACCGCGATGTGCCTGACCGGCCACCTTTGCCTCAGGTCGCTGCAAATCCTCCGGACTTCGTTTTCCGCCATCGGAACGTACGCTTCGTACTCCAAGCTCATGACTTTTTTCCCTTCAAAGTGATTCCTTGTGGTCCCTAAGAAGAAGGGGAAAAAGGCAATTAAAATAAGGCTTCTCCTTATAATAGAAACTGCACAGTAAAAAAGGGTTCTAATTTTTTAAGCACATTTTTACTGACTTTTTTTTAGAGAGGAAGGGAGAGGGAGAGAAAAAGAAAAACCCATGTGAGAGGGAAACATCGCTTGGCTGCCTCCTGCATGCCCCCTACTGGGGATTGAGCCTGCAACCCGGGCATGTGCCCTGCCTGACCTGGAACTGAACCGGCAACGTTCTGATGCATGGACGACCAGGGCAGAAAAGGGGCTGTTTTGGAACAGACAGTAGCCTACAGATCTGTCTAGCGATTACTGTGAAGTATTCTAAAGATGAACACGGTGAGAACAAGAGGACTGTCCCAAAGGTAAGACAGGAAGACGCGCTGACGAGGCAGCCGGATGGAGACTCTCCTGTGACAAACCAGCACCCGTTCTCTTCCGGCACACTTGCCACTGAGAAGGAACGCTCCGTCCCCGGGCTGTCACGGAGGTCCCACCATCACCGTCTCCCTGAATGTTTGGAACACACAGGCTTCTCTCTGCTCAGGGCGTCTGTCCTGCTCGCCTGAAGATCACTAACACAAAGCCAAAGCTGGAGACCCACCGGTCCCCTTGGCTCAGCGTCTTACATCCGCCCTGACACTCGGCACGGAAACACTGCCGACCGGCAGCGAAAGCAGGGGACAGGCTCACCCACAAACAGGGACACGGCTCCGCAGAGCGGGGACGTCACCAGCTGCGAGACCTCCTCCACGGACAGCTTCTCGGCCGTGAACTTGATGATGTCTTTGTGTTCCTCCTCCCCGACGTCCGCCCTGGAAGAGAGCAGTAACAACCTCGGCGGTGTGCAGAGGCCAGACCGGCCACAGGCTGCGTGTCCGGGCGCGTCTCCTACGTCAGAGGTGCTGGGCGGAGGATCCGATCTGAATGATACCAGTAAGCGTGCAATTAAAAAAACAAACAACCAGTGTTTTTTATAAATACCCCGAATGAGTCGAGTATGGTACCAAAAGGAGTTTACCATGAACACGATCACTAAAAGCCGTGGTTCTCAACCTTCCTGATGCCGCGGGGGGCAAAGTGGTGAAAAATACCCAGGCCTCCGTGGCCGTGCTGACGCACAGGAGAACCCCAATAAGCCATGCTGAGAGAGGAGGACCAGCACCTCCGAGTGACATGACGGAGCTGCCGGCACAGGACTGACAGACCGGCAGGGAGGTGTCAGGTCCGTCCGCACCGACACGGGCTGTGCCGGGACAGCGAGCTCGCGAACACTCAGAGCGCGGGTCCCCGCCGTCTGCTACAGGCGACACCTGCGGAAGGGAACACTCACCGCGCAGGCCCCCCGGGGCCCTCAGCACTAGCCTCCGCTGATGGGGGGGATGATGGCGACTTCGTCTCCTTCCCGAAGCAGGAGGAGCTGGTCTCCGAGCTCGACATACTCCTGCCGCACAGCCAGGATCACCTGGTTCCTGACATCGGCCAGCCTGAGGGAGCAAGCGGAGTGCGCAGTGTCAGAGCTGTGCTAGGCCTCCAGGTCTCCAATGGAAATTAGGTGACATAAGCCCTGGTCAGTGTGGCTCAGTGGACAGAGCATCAGCCAGCACGCTGAAGGGTCGCAGGTTCGATTCCAGTCAAGGGAACGTACCTCGGTTTCAGTACCTTGATCCCTGACCCTGGGTGGGGCCCAGGTGGGAGGCAGCCAGTCGTGTCTCTCTCACATCAATGTTTCTCTCTCTCTGTCTCTCCCTTTCCCTTCCACTCTCTCTAAAAATCAACAGAAAAATATCCTCTGGTGAGGACTGAGAAAACACAAGACATATAAGACATAAATATCACTTTGTAGCATCGCCTGCAGAGTTACTAATGAAAGTAACTTATATGCTGCAGAGAAAAGATGCATCCACAGGAGAGAATTCTCAGTCACCACCAAGAACACAGTCACTGCCAACAGCTCTCACTGGCTGCTGTGTGTCTCAGAGAATGAAATACCGAAAAGATAAGAGACTGAAGGTAACACTCAGACCAGGTCAAAGGAAGAAAGGAAAAAGAAAAATGTCCTGATTCCAGGAGCCTTCTAAGGGTACAGTCTGCTAGTGTACCCCAGAAGTCCCCCCAAGACAGGTGTCCCCGGCAGGTGAAAGGTTAAAGGTCGGGTGGGCAGAGGTTATCAGGGCACTTTAAGACAGTTTAAAAGATACAAAATAAAATAAGTCGTTTTTTGAACACGCGTTGAGGAGTATCCTTCACACGGTGAACCTCTCTATGGACTAAGTGCCACCATTAATGCTCCTGATCACCTTCTAGGAAGCCACGTTGACACTCTGTCCCCAAAAGAACGTGAGGCAGGGACAACAGCAGAAACAGGACATCGGCTATTGCAAAACGCAAACTCAGCCGCCCTGGGGTTTGCTCTCTCTCATTTTTATCTTAACCTCAGAAATTTCTATTGACTTCTCAGAAGACGTAAACGTCCCAAGCACACATTGTAACAGAACGTGTGACCACCTCACTCACGCTGTGAAAATGCAGCATCTGCACGCTGGCTACCATGAAACCACAAGAGCGAACGGGAGCCTGTCGGTCAGGGCGCAGCTCACTGCGCTTCTGGGTGAGCCTGCGGGAGGACGAGGGTTGGCCTCCCCAGAGGGTTCCAGAAACACAGCCATGTTCACTGCGACCGTGTGCGCACGCACACATTCTAGATTGCTAGAAAGCTCCACCCTTTACCCCGGATGCCGCGTCTCCAGCTCAGCCCACAGCTGCGCCGCCGGGATCTCCTGGGGCACAGAGACGGTCTCGGCGCGGGTCCCGGTGATCTCGGCGCTCTTCGCAAAGTACAGCACCTGGACCTGCGAGGGAGAGGATGCTCCCGTGGCGACCACGGCCCTTTGCTGGCACAGGTGCTAGCTTCCTGTCACGGACACACTGGGAAGTGAGGGAACCTCAAAGCGCCCAGCGTATGTGCGTTTTGACGATGCTGGTGTGTGCAGCCCATTCTCACTCGTTTCCGGTGCTGGTCAGCTCTGCAAACGCCCAAGAGCCCCCGCCCGCACCCAGACAATGACTCCTCAGAGAGGGGACGTGAGGCGGCCTCCCGCTGACGGGTTAGCACCTTCTATGAACAGGTGAACAGTGACCCGGGTCCGGGTGCAGCTGGCAGAGGGGCCTGGAGGTGAGACTGCCTTTGGGGCGGCCCTGGCCTGGCACCGCGCCTGGCCCCCGGCTGGTTATGCAACCGCAGTCACAGGGCACAGAGCGGAGCGGGCTGGGCTGCTGTGCAGGCCGAGCAGGTTCCAGCGCTGGCGCCGGCACCTGCCCCTGGCCCTGTCCCTGTCCCCTGCCCCTGCCCCTGCACCTCACCTACCCCCTGTCCCTGCCCCTGCCCCTGCCCCCTGCCCCCTGCCCCTGCCCCCTGCCCCTGCCCCTGCCCCCTGCCCCCTGCCCCTGCCCCCGCCCCCTGCCCCCTGCCCCCGCCGCCTGCCCCCTGCCCCTGCCCCCTGCACCTCACCTACCCCCTGTCCCTGCCCCTGCCCCCCACCCCCGCCCTCGCCCCCTACCCCCCGCCCCCGCCCCTGCCCCTGCCCCCGCCCCTGCCCCTGCCCCTGCCCGGTGCGCCGCTGCAGCCGCCAGCGGTCGCACACGCTGAGGCCGCGCTAGGGGGGTTCTCGGTGCTGACCTTCGGGGCGGCCGCCCGGTTAGGTGCGTGAGCGCCCACCCAGCACCCACACCGGCACCCACACCAGCCGGTGGGAACCAGGGGGGGCGGGCTCTGGGGAGGGGAGGGGGTTCCTGGGGGCGGATCTCCTGAAGCGAAACCTGTCTCCAGAGCAGGAAGGACCCAGGACGGGGCGAAGGTCAGGGCGCCCCTAGGGAGGGAGGGTGCCCTGGAGAGGGAGGGTGCTGACAGGGAGGGGGTGCCCTGGAGAGGGAGGGTGCCGACAGGGAGGGGGTGCCCTGGAGAGGGAGGGTGCTGACAGGGAGGGGGTGCCCTGGAGAGGGAGGGTGCCGACAGGGAGGAGGGCGCCCTGGAGAGGAGGGTGCTGACAGGGAGGGAGGGGGTGCCCTGGAGAGGGAGGGTGCTGACAGGGAGGGAGGAGGGCGCCCTGGAGAGGGAGGGTGCTGACAGGGAGGGAGGGTGCCCTGGAGAGGGAGGGTGCCGACAGGGAGGAGGGCGCCCTGGAGAGGAGGGTGCTGACAGGGAGGGAGGGGGTGCCCTGGAGAGGGAGGGTGCCGACAGGGAGGAGGGCGCCCTGGAGAGGGAGGGTGCCGACAGGGAGGGAGGGTGCTGACAGGGAGGGAGGGCGCCCTGGAGAGGGAGGGTGCCTACAGGGAGGGGTGCCCTTAGGGAGGAGGGAGGGCGCCGGGCGGGAGGTGCCCTGGGCCGCGCAGGGCCTCGAGGCCGGGGTCCGGGCCCGCAGGGCGGGGGGCGGGGGTCGGGGCGAGCGGGCGCCCGGAGAGGCCTTACCTGGCAGCGCCGCACCATCCCGCCCGGCGCGGGTCCGCGGGGCGACCGGAGGCGGAGCCCGGCGCACGCACGGCGCAGGCGCACTGACAGCCGCCGCACTGCGCACGCGCCCCGCTCGCCCCGCCCCTCGCCCCGCCCCTCCCGGATCCGCGGGGCTGAGCCGTGTCCGCCCGGAGCCCGGGGGCGGGGCCGGGGGCGGGGACCGGGGGCGGGGACCGGGGCCGGGGGCGGGGGCCGGGGGCGGGGGCCGGGGGCGGGGGCGGGGACCGGGGGCGGGGGCCGGGGGCGGGGACCGGGGGTTGGGGGCGGGGGCCGGGGGCGGGGGCCGGGGGCGGGGACCGGGGGCGGGACCGGGGCCGGGGGCGGGGGCCGGGGGCGGGGGCCGGGGGTTGGGGGCGGGGGCCGGGGGCGGGGGCCGGGGGCGGGGGCCGGGGGCGGGGACCGGGGCCGGGGGCGGGGGCCGGGGGCGGGGGCCGGGGGCGGGGACCGGGGGCGGGGACCGGGGCCGGGGGCGGGGGCGGGGGCGGGGGCCGGGGGCGGGGGCGGGGACGGGGGCGGGGGCCGGGGGCGGGGCCGGGGGCGGGGGCGGGGACCGGGGGCGGGGGCCGGGGCGGGGCCGGGGGCGGGGGCGGGGGCGGGGGCGGGGGCGGGGGCGGGGGCCGGGGGCGGGGGCCGGGGGGGGGGGGGGGGCGGGGGCCGGGGGGGGGGGCCGGGGGCGGGGGCCGGGGGGGGGGGGCGCAGGGGCGGGGACCGGAGCGGGGGGGGGGGCCGGGGGCGGGGGCGGGGGCGGGGGCGGGGGCGGGGGCCGCAGGGGGCGGAGGGACCGGGGGCGGGGGCCGGGGACGGGGCCGGGGGCGGGGGGCCGCAGGGGGCGGAGGGACCGGGGGCGGGGGCCGGGGGCGGGGGCCGCAGGGGGCGGCGGGGCCGGGCGGCGGGCAGGCGCCTGCGCAGAGGCAGGGGCTGGCCGGCTCCGGACCCCACCTGCGGGCGCCCCCGCCCCCGTTCTTATCTTCAGTTCATTGGAGTCAGAGGGAGCGGAGGGGAGGCATCAGGTGAGGGGATCCTGGACCGCCGCGCCCCGCGCCCCGCGCCCCGCGGGCCCGCCGCCGGCCTGTGCCGGACCGGACCGGGCCGGACCGGACCTCCGGGCTCGCGGGCGGAGGGAGGCCCAGCGGAGCCCCGGCGCCGGCGGCGGCTCCCACGGGCCCTTTGCCCGCCGCCGGCGCCGGGGCCGCCCCTCCAGGCGCGGAGCTTCCGACCGGAGCGACCTTCTCCGGCTGGAGCCCAGCGGCTCCTGCCGGGTCCGGCCGCCCAGCCCCGTGCGGACCAGGCCGGCCGCGGTGGGCTCCGCGGTGGAAGGATGGAGCGGGCCCGGCCCTGGGCGCCCAGGCCGGTGGCACACACGGTCACGTGGCTCCCACCAGGCGCCACCCCGGGACCGGCACATGGGGGGGCGCTCAGCTGAGGGCTGGCCCCGGGAGAGCTCAGCGGGGAGGGAGGGCATTTCCGGCCCCGCCCGAGGGTGCCAGCTTAGGGAGGCCCCGCCCGAGGGTGCCAGCTTAGGGAGGCCCCGCCCGAGGGTGCCCGCTTAGGGAGGCCCCGCCCGAGGGTGCCAGCTTAGGGAGGCCACGGCAGAGGGCGCTTGGCCAGGCGGGTGCCCCCAGCCAGGGGCAGTGGAGGTGAGGCTGGAGGTACCAGGGAGTGACCCAGGGCAAGAGACAGGGACAAGGACCGGCAGACACCCGCGTCTGTGCTGGGCCGTGGTGAGCATCCCAGATACAGAATCATACATTCAGACAGGACCCCGGAGATGACATTGACCTTAGCCTGGCCAGGGACGTCCAAGGCCAGCCCATGGCGGGGGCAATGTCTACAGCACGGCTGAGAGCAAACGCAGGAGCCAGCAGGTGACAGCCAGGCTGGTGCTGAGGGAGCCAAGTCTCCGGGCCTCAACCTGCAGACTACAACTGAGGGATGGCAGCAAGCACCTCAGGCAGAAACTGCTGATCGGCTTCTGTACTTACTTGTTTGCTAAAACGACAGGGAGTTATTTTGGTTTTCTGAACTTAGGTATGCTCTCCCAGTACCCCATGGATGGTAGTCTGAACGGACCATTGATTGCGATCTCACTGGTCACTGAAGCACATTCTTCTGGCACCCAGGACAGCTCACTTACCCTAAATTGCCTCAGTAGCTACAGATAACGAGTTTTGGTTGACTCGGTGGTCCCGGAATCTGGACAGCACAATTATTCTAAATCGCCCGGTGGTCCCAGATAAAGTGTTTCTGTTGATTCAGTGATTCGCAGATACTTTAGATAACTAGCTTGCTCAGTTTTGCTTCTGTAACTGCTTTGCACAAACCAGGTTCCTCATTCCAGACCCAAAGCTGTAATCCATACCTCTGTGATATCCTGCCCAGAAGAGCCAGACGTGGCTGCTGTTCGGGGCTGTGGGTTTGGAGGCTGCCTTGCTCCCCTGCATGCCGCCAGCTTTTAATAAATGACTCCGTAATTTGACTTCTTGAGGCGTCCTTTATAAGATGGGGGTACACAACAACACGACAACACGCACAGCAGCCCAGAGCCCCTCCCCAGGCAGGAACCCGCCATCCTGAGAGGCAGCAACTGCACACTCAGCAGGAAAGGGGGAATGGCAGTCAATAAAGGAAAGAAGCGAGACCTTAACCCCCTTACGTATAAAACAAACTGGGGGACTGTGGTTAGGAGGTAAAATATAACTGATGCCAGAATATTTTAAAAACATAACAGAAATGGCCCCAAATTGGGACTTGTGTTTACAAACATTGATTCAAGCCTCAATGTTTTTCATAATCTTGTTTATTTTAGAAGGACCTACCTACCAGGAGCCACTACAAACGATCTTAATAAAAATGTGGCGCCGAAGCTGGTTTGGCTCAGTGGTAGAGCGTCGGTATGCAGACAGAAAGTTCAGGTTCGATTCCGGTCAAGGGCATGTATGTTGGTTGCGGGCACATCCCCCGGTAGGGGGTGTGCAAGAGGCAGCTGGCCGATGTTTCTCTCTCATCGATGTTTCTAGCTCTCTCTCTCTCTCCCTTCCTCTCTGTTAAAAATCAATAAAATGTATTTTCTAAAAATGTGGCGATTTCTAATTCCTTCAGTTTCACTGTTGTTAAACTCAAGCACCGTTAGTTAAAAGCTACCGATAATGAATACGGTGCAGTGTCATTGCACGTATGATGATGACATCACGCAGCTTCGATGCCCAGGGGAAGGGGGACCGCGTCCCCACGATCCCCTCTGGGAACAGGCCATGCCTCCTCTGTGCCCCGGGGTGGGCACTGGTGTGGGCAGCGGAGTTGCAGGTGACTGAAAACAACATGCTCTCCTCTGAGTTGATTTCTGTTCGCTTGATCTTTAAAAGTGATTGATCCATCCTATAAAAAGTGATTGATCCATCCTGTAAAAAGTGATTGATCCATCCTGTAAAAAGTGGTTGATCCATCCTGTAAACACCTTTGGGTGATTGTGGCTCTGTCTGGGAGCACTGGGGATACATCCGCGAACCATAAAAATGAGGCCCTTGCCCCAGGTTGCTCCTTTCCGGTCAGGAAGACAGAGGGGTCCGTACCTGCGGGAGGAAGAGGAACAGGGACGGTGCTCCAGAGGGAAGGAGCCGGGGAGGAGCAGGCGGCGATCGCTCGGCGGGTCCGAGGGAGGAGCCGGCCTGCGGAGCCGACCTGCGGGTGCGAGGCAGAGCCTGCTGCGGGGCGGTCAGCACCTGAGTGCTGGAAGAGGAGAGAGGCCGGAATGGCTGAGGCCGAGAAGAAGGAAGGTTAAGATTAAAGGGAACTGAGCGTACAGATCGGGGGTGGTCTTGAAAGCCAGTTTGGATTTTTTTCTACTTTCATTGGGAAGACACACACACACACACACACACTCACACACACACACACCTTTCAAACATGGGATTCTGCCTCTGCTCTGAGCCATTTTCAGGGTCCTGAGCACAAACAGGAGAAGAGCCAACGAGTTTTACCCGGAAGTTTCAGTCCTGTGAGAGGGGTGTCTCTGCTGTCGCCTGCTGCTGTACAGGAGGACCGTCCTGGGCACGCATGGTGGCCCACGGCCACGGTCTCCTCATGCAATGTGGCTGCTTCAGGGCCTCGAACACGCTGCAGCCTAAGCACACGCCGTGCACCAAAGTGGAGGACACAGACCCTCACGTCTCAGCCCACGTGCCCCCTTCGTGCGCCACGGGGTTGGGGGTACCTGCTGAGGAAGTCCTTGTGGTGGCGTCGGATCCGTGGCCGCCAGACTGGTATCTAATGATCTAATGTGTTTTTGTGGTGTTTGCATTTCTCGTTAAAAACCATGTGCAGGGGTTGTTTTTTGAAAGACTAGGTCAATTATGCCCCTCTGGAATGGCTCATCCTAAGAGCTCACCTGGATTGTAAGCACTTTTCTTACGATTGTGAAGACATCCAGCTCAGGATTGGTGGATTCAGTTTTATGATGGTGTGAAATCATAAAATATCACTTTTTTCTTGTGTAATTTTATTCATTGGTCATCTCCGATCAAAACAAATAAACAAACTAACAAACAAACCCGCATAAACTACACACACCTGTTGCTTTATGCAAAGAAAGACAGGAGAAACACTCCCCCTGGTGGCTGGTGATTCCCATTGCAATCCCTTTGCTTCCAGGGAGAGGAAGGCAGGCGCTGTGGCAAAGGGGCTCTCCCTGGCCCTGTCCTAAGACCAACGCGCGCCTTCCCACCAGGTGGCAGAGGGGAGCAAGACTTCCCGATTCTGTTTCTGCAGAATCTAAGAGGTTACAGAAGAGAGAAATGCACCCCCAGGGGCCGATGCCCAGTGAACAACCAAGCTCTTTTGAGGATCCTGGTTGGGCTCCAGAGAGCGCTCCATTTCTGCCCTGACACCGAGGCCGGGTGCTCCTGGGGGAGAGGCTGCGGAGAACAGAACCCTGAGAACCTCGCTCCAGGACACAGGGAAGCAGAAGCCCGCCCCCAGAACCCACAGCTGGCCTGGGCAGGGGCAGGGAGGGAGGGGCTGCGCCCAGAGCTGCTGGTCTCCCAGGAAAAGGCCTCTGGGTCTCTGAGGCTCTGCCCCCTTCCCACCTGATGGCCCCCCTTCCCACCTGGCGGCCCCCCCTTCCCACTTGATGGCCCCCCTTCCCACCTGATGGCCCCCTTCCCACCTTGCGGCCCTCCTTCCCACCTGGCGGCCCCTCTTCACACCTGATGGCCCCCCCTTCCCACCTGATGGCCCCCCTTCCCACCTGATGGCCCCCTTTCCCACCTGATGGCCCCCTTCCCACCTGATGGCCCCTCTTCCCACCTGATGGCCCCTCTTCCCACCTGGTGGCCCCCCTTCCCACCTGGCGGCCACCCTTCCCCCTGATGGCCCCCCCTTCCCACCTGGAGGCCCCCCCTTCCCACCTGGCGGCCCCCTTCCCACCTGGCGGCCCCCCCTTCCCACCTGGCGGCCCCCCTTCCCACCTGATGGCCCCCCTTCCCACCTGATTGCCCCCCTTCCCACCTGGCAGCCCCCCTTCCCACCTGGCAGCCCCCCTTCCCACCTGATGGCCCCCGATTCCCACCTGATGGCCCCCCCTTCCCACCTGGCGGCCCCCCCTTCCCACCTGATGGCCCCCCTTCCCACCTGATGGCCCCCCCTTCCCACCTGGCGGCCCCCCTTCCCCCAGATGGCCCCCCCTTTCCACCTGGCGGCCCCCCTTCCCACCTGATGGCCCCACTTCCCACCTGGCGGCCCCCTTCCCACCTGGCGGCCCCCCTTCCCACCTGGCGGCCACCCCTTCCCACCTGATGGCCCCCCTTCCCACCTGATGGCCCCCCTTCCCACCTGGAGGCCCCCCCTTCCCACCTGACGGCCCCCTTCCCACCTGGCGGCCCCCCCTTCCCACCTGGCGGCCCCCCTTCCCACCTGATGGCCCCCCCTTCCCACCTGATTGCCCCCCTTCCCACCTGGCAGCCCCCCTTCCCACCTGGCAGCCCCCCTTCCCACCTGATGGCCCCCGATTCCCACCTGATGGCCCCCCCTTCCCACCTGGAGGCCCCCCCTTCCCACCTGGCGGCCTCCCTTCCCACCTGATGGCCCCCCTTCCCACCTGATGGCCCCCCCTTCCCACCTGGCGGCCCCCCTTCCCCCAGATGGCCCCCCCTTTCCACCTGGCGGCCCCCCTTCCCACCTGATGGCCCCCCTTCCCACCTGGCGGCCCCCCTTCCCACCTGGCGGCCCCCTTCCCACCTGGCGGCCCCCCTTCCCACCTGATGGCCCCCCCTTTTCACCTGATGGCCCCCCTTCCCACCTGGCGGCCCCCTTCCCACCTGGCGGCCCCCCTTCCCACCTGATGGCCCCCCCTTCCCACCTGATGGCCCCCCCTTCCCACCTGGCGGCCCCCTTCCCACCTGGCGGCCCCCCTTCCCACCTGATGGCCCCCCCTTCCCACCTGATGGCCCCCCCTTCCCACCTGGCGGCCCCCTTCCCACCTGGCGGCCCCCTTCCCACCTGGCGGCCCCCCTTTTCACCTGATGGCCCCCCCTTTTCACCTGATGGCCCCCCTTCCCACCTGGCGGCCCCCTTCCCACCTGGCGGCCCCCCTTCCCACCTGATGGCCCCCCCTTCCCACCTGATGGCCCCCCCTTCCCACCTGGCGGCCCCCTTCCCACCTGGCGGCCCCCCTTCCCACCTGATGGCCCCCCCTTCCCACCTGATGGCCCCCCCTTCCCACCTGGCGGCCCCCCTTCCCACCTGGCGGCCCCCCTTCCCACCTGATGGCCCCCCTTCCCACCTGGCGGCCCCCCTTCCCACCTGGTGGCCCCCTTCCCACCTGATGGCCCCCCTTCCCACTTGATGGCCCCCCTTCCCACCTGATGGCCCCCCCTTCCCACCTGATGGCCCCCCCTTCCCACCTGGCGGCCCCCTTCCCACCTGGCGGCCCCCCTTCCCACCTGGCGGCCCCCCTTCCCACCTGGCGGCCCCCCTTCCCACCTGATGGCCCCCCTTCCCACCTGGCGGCCCCCCTTCCCACCTGGTGGCCCCCTTCCCACCTGATGGCCCCCCTTCCCACTTGATGGCCCCCCTTCCCACCTGGTGGCCCCCCTTCCCACCTGATGGCCCCCCTTCCCACTTGATGGCCCCCCTTCCCACCTGGTGGCCCCCTTTCCACCTGGCGGCCCCCCCTTCCCACCTGGCGGCCCCCTTCGCACCTGGCGGGGAGCTGGGCACGGTGCCCCCACCTAAGGAGAGGCTGAGGATGCTGATGCCAAGGTCATGGCCAGAGAGGAAGGCCCAAGGCTGACACCTCGTGGCCGGGGGAGGGTGCAGACAAACCTGCTGAGAACCCCCCCCCCTGTTCCAGCCCACCCCGTGCCCTCGTGCCCTCCTTCCGGGGACCGGCCGTTCCTCCTCCTCTGGGCCACAGGGTGGGCAGACTCTGCTGGAAAAGGCCAGTTTGTCAGCATTCAGACACAGACGCGCGATCTCGTCCAGCCACTCAGCTCCCCGCGCACGCAGTGTGGCGGCCACGCCAGCCCGTGAAGGAGTGTGTGGCCGTCAGCACAGTCAGTGATGGAGCCGGGAGATGGCCTCTGTCCCCCAGAGCCAAAACAATGTGGTCTGAAATGTCAGAGGAAAACACGCGACTGTAGGAAGCCAACCCCCTCGCCACGGGAGCGCCCAGAGCTTCCCTGGGAGGGGACCGGTCCGGACAGCATCGGTGTGGGACTGCCGTGTGCCACAAGTCCACACGGTGGCCCGGCGGCCGGCTCAGGGGCTGCGGGTCCACCTGCGAACCAGGAGGTCACGGTGGGATCCCTGGTCAGGGCACAGGCCCAGGCGGAAGGCTCCATCCCCAGTGTGGAGCAGGCTGGAGGCAGCCGATCCATGGTTCTCCCTCATCATGGATGTTTCTCTCT